GCTCAGTATAAAATTAAAATATTCTGTAAAGTTTTGCAACGAGATGTGTGTTCGTATGGTGTGTTGCCTAACAAAATCAGTTGCTGTCCTAACAGGCCATTGGGGTTGTTAGGCAGCACATTATACCTAAAACTTTTATATTTTTTACAATAGCATTTATTTGGAGTTTTACATGCGCAACGTCAAGATATTTCCTAATGTTTAATAAATTATTTGTAATTATTTTTTAGGTAGCTTTTATAATTGGAATTGCGGGAGCTTGTCGCCGGGAAGAATTATGTAAAATGGCAATTAACGATGTGGAAGATAAACAAACAGTGTATATTGTCAAAGTATCAGAAACCAAAATTGGAATAGAACGCATTTTTACGATTTTAAATCCAAATAATTCTGCAGTTGATTATTTATCTTTCATAAAAAAATATACCTCATTAAGGCCATCAAATATAAATTATAAAAGATTTTTTTTTTAAATTCGCAAATGGAAAATATTCTAAACAGCCTGTAAGGATAAATACTTTTGGTAAAATGCCAAGTGTTATAGCAACGTATCTAAACTTGCCCAATCCAACGGCTTTTACAGGACACTGCTTTAGGAGGTCTTCAGCCACTATGCTGGCAAATTCTGGAGGAGACCTTCTAACGGTCAAAAAAGATGGAGGATGGAAATCATCTGCTGTTGCAGAAGGCTACGTAGACAGCACAATAACAGAAAAAAACAAAATTTCTAATAAAATTTTGATGGATGACAGTATGCCATCCACTTCCAAACAAAGCTACAATTTTACCGTTGACAACTCTAATGAAGAATTAGTGGAACCACTCGACAGTGAAACTAGAGTTACACAAAATATTTCAACCTCTTTACTTGAAAAGGCCAAATCCATACCACTCGAAGCTCAAAATAGGGTTACAGAAGTAATATCACAACATTTTTCAAACTCTGTGCTGGAAAAGGCCAAAACCTTAAGTTTTTGTAATTGCAATAATTGCACATTCAATATTAATATTCATAAGAGTTAAAAACCTATTTTTTTAAATATTTTTTCATTTGTTAGTCATTTTGTTCTGTAAGAATTATAAATTTGTAAAGTTCCAATAAATTTATTTTTGTTGCTGTGTACAATTTTTGGCACATTTTACTTTTTTTCACTAGTGCGTAAAGTAAAGTACTTTTTTTCACTAGTGAAAAAAAGTAACTTTTATAATTCTAATATTAGTGGATTATGTGTACGGTAGTAGAAAAAATATTGTATGCCACTCGTGTGTAAAGTCCCTTTTTTGACGAATGTGAATGTTGTCGCACGAGCCGTAGGCGAGCCGTAGGCATAAATAACTATTTTATAGTTATTTCAATCCAGTTTAAATATTATATTAATAAAAATTATTTTGAAATCTGTTGACGAAAATTATTTAAGTTCCTAACGATCCAGCTAAGTTGGCTATGGATGACTGACACTTCTTTATTTAATTTGACATTTTAATTTTAAAAATCAAGAACAATATCAATAATCAAAAATATTATAAATTAAGTAGTTGCTTTATTTTTTTGGTTTAATCATATATCAAAACTTATTTTAATTCAGCAAACACCTATTAGTGAATATAATATTAAATTAAATAATAATACTTTACAAAAATTGTAAATAAAAATTTCTATAAATCTTGCTAAGTTGGCTATGATTAACTGACATTTAGTACGTGTTGTGAGATATTTCTTAAATTTCTTTTTTCTATTCGACATTTAAACTGAAATAAGGTAACTAAAAATATGTCTATTTAATATTTAGGTAATTATTATGATATTATTGTAGATATTTTAATCAGAAAATAAAACAGGCATCTATACAAACTTCATTTTAACAATGGATTCATCTAATTCTGATGATTATTTCGAAAATACTCCACCGAATATATTGGATGCAGCACACAATTCTTCGAAAGATTTATTGCCTCAAAAATCAGCCAACATTTATGAGTCGAAATATAATTTCTTTATGGAATGGTGTAAACGAAATTAAATTATCAAATATTCTGAGAATGTCCTGGTGGCATATTTTTCAAGTGAATTAAAACACTATAATCCATCCATCCATAACATGGACCATATTTACTATGTTAAAAATCAAAAATAATATTGACATTTCAAAATATTATAAATTAGTTAGTTTTGTAAAAAACAAGAGCAAGAGCATTTAGGTATAATTGGCATTTCCGGCGCACGCCGAAGAGACGAATTGACAAATTTAAAATATGATGATATCGAAGACAAAGAAACAGTACTTATTATTAGAATTCCTGAAAATAAAAATGAGACGGAAAGAATTTTTACTATTTTAAATGTCACCAATTCAAAAATTGAATATTTATCTTATATTAAAAAATATATTGCCTTAAGACCTCCTATGATGGCGACTTCCAGATTCTTTTTGAAATGTGGAAACAATAAGTGCACCAAACAGCCAGTAAGCATAAGTACATTTGGCAAAATGCCATCTATTATAGCAAATTATCTTCAATTGCCTAATCCGACTATGTATACTGGACATTGTTTTAGGAGGTCATCAGCAACAATGTTGGCAAATTCTGGAGGTGACCTTCTAACAGTTAAAAAACATGCGGACTGGAAGTTGTCTACCGTTGCAAAGGGCTACGTAGATTCTACTTTAAGTAAAAGAAATAATGTATCTAATTTAATATTAATGGATGATAATACCCCTTGCACATCACAAAATATTTCTAATGCGAATGTAATAGAAGATAACTCCCCTTTTATTTCCACGCAAGTTAGCCACGTTATTGGCAATTCTTCATGTTATGAAGTAACTAACCTTAGCTATAATAATTTCAGCAACTTAGTACCTAATGTTAATGTTGTAATGCTACGTCATCGGTTTCTGAAACCACAGTAAACTCTAGCATGGAGCAAGCTAAAGGATTAAGTTTTAACAAGTGTACAAACTGCACTTTTCACATTAATATTGTTAATAATTAAATAACTTATATTCAATTCTATATTTCAACATTTAAGTCGTTAAGTTAATCTAGTTAATTTGGTGAAAATATGTATATTAAATTAGTTAAATTATATTTTATTAAAAATCAAAGTGTTATAATTAGAACGAAAAAATAAACTTTCTTTACACACTAGTGCGTAAACAAATATACTGTACACACTAGTGCGTGAAGAAAATATATATAAAACCTTCATTTTTTGATAAAACTTTCGATAGTAGAAAAAATATTGTATGCAATTCGTGTGTAAAGTCCCTTTTTAACTCGTCAAAAAAGCGTTACTTTACACACTTGTTGCATAAATAACTATTTTAAATAATTATAGTCAATACTCACAACAAAAAAACCAATCTTCATTTTGAAATACATAGAATAAATTTAATATTGTTGGTCACTGGCTTTTAATACAAGAGTTGAAGTTATTAATTATACTGAGATGAAGGGACAATTCCAGTCGGAGTTAAAATATTAAGGTTAGCCCTTACACGTGCGACAATATTCACATTCGTCAGAAAAGCGTTACTTTACACACTTGTTGCGTAAATAACTATGTTTAACACTTGTGGTTTAAATTTATTACTATGAACACTACAGATAGTAATAATTTTTGATCATAATTGCAATAAAATATTGGGCTTTCCATAAAAAATATAACTTAGATATACCACACTTTTTTGGGTATTATGTATATTTCAAAATAATTTTAAAATGTAGTTCTTATTGGCTTACAAGTAATCATAGAAAAACATCAAAATTGTTATAGTTTCATAGCCCAATCGGATTAGTATTTTAGATTCTGAAAAATTCGAAGCAGCAATTTTCCTTCGGAATTCGTTGGAGGGGGTCTCTGGTAGTCTAAATTCAAAAAGTTGGGATTCCAAAGTTGTCGTTACCTCCGCCATCTTGATTTAAAGGGTTATTTTTTGTATCTTGAATAACTCATTTATTTTCAATTTTACACGGAAACTAGTTTTTACAAAAGTTATTTAAAATTAAATTTCCTACAATCTGCTTTTTTTTTGTACGATCGATTTTTTTCGATTTATACCCGAAAAGAGGGGGTGAATTTTTGGTTATAGAATAACTCGTTTATTTTTAATTTTACGAGAAAAATTGTTATAAACAAAGTTGTTTAAAATTAAATTTCCTACAATTCTGTTTTTTTTTATACGATCGATTTTTTTGTATTTATCCCTGAGAAGAGTGGGGGTGAACCTAAGTATTGTATTGTCACGTTTATTATTGATGTTGTACCATTATTTTATATGTTTGTTTTTTTTTTGCTGATACCTGGAATTAAAAAGAAACGTGATAATACAATGATAAGAGTTTACCCCCACTCTTCTCAGGGATAAATACAAAAAAATCGAGCGTACAAAAAAACAGAATTGTAGGAAATTTAATTTTAAACAACTTTGTTTATAACAATTTTTCTCGTAAAATTGAAAATAAACGAGTTATTCTATAACCAAAAATTCACCCCCTCTTTTCGGATATAAATCGAAAAAAATCGATCGTACAAAAAAAAAGCAGAATTGTAGGAAATTTTATTTTAAATAACTTTTGTAAAAACTATTTTCCGTGTAAAATTGAAAATAAATGAGTTATTCAAGATACAAAAAATAACCCTTTAAATCAAGCTGGCGGAGGTAACGACAACTTTGGAATCCCAACTTTTTGAATTTAGACTACCACAGACCCCCTCCAACGAATTCCGAAGGAAAATTGCTGCTTCGAATTTTTCAGAATCTCAAGCCTGTTCTTCACCTAATCCGATTGGGCTATCACTGAAAGAACAAAGCCGGCTAACTTGGAGTTTTTTCTCTTATTTAATAAGTTAATCACTCCAACAATAAATTATATAACTCACTGTGTCTGGATTCTGTATTCATTCTATCATAAAATTCTAAACACTCATTTACATTGTAATCCATTTTAAACAATAACTACTTAGTTAACTATAAGATGCACTGGCGATAACGTACTTTATTCCTTGTTTCTTATCTGAATTTGTTCCTAGACGAGGTGTAAAAATGGGATGTAATACTAAAAAATCGTTATACATACTTCAAATCAAGAAGTTTTATTCTCAATTTAAGAAACCTGCATACTTATTATGAGTATGTACATTCTTAAAAATTCTTAAGCGAAAGACGGTTATTTAAGTTCATGTCTCATTCAATTGTGTTTTGTTATGCTGTTCATTAAATTATTAAAAAGATTAGCTTTCAAATTAAATGTCACACTTTACAATACGTAACCGTTTTTATCATGCTAGAGGGCGTTAAAAATAAAAGTAGCGCAATGAATATGAATATTGCTGAATTCTCCTTAAAACCTTTTTATATTTGGTACTTTCCACATTTAAATTGTATTGGTTAGATCAACGAAGGTGAGGGATGTGACGTATGAAGGTTGAGGAGATGAAACAAAGGTGTACCAGTTGAAAAAAAATTAACCTGTTCTTGTGTGTTTTTTTTTTAATAATATATTTCTAATTATTTTTAGCTACAGCCGCTAACAGTAATTACTCAGACATTATGTACAAGGAAAATAAAAAAATATTAACTATGTTGAAGAGTAAAATATCGATAATTCTGGAGATCACAAAAAATTATTTGGAAAACCATTAAAGCTAAATATAAATAAAATCATGGCCATCTATCTAAAAAAGCCCTTTTTCAACAAGTGCGAGGTGAATCAACTGAAACATGTAAAAATAGATGTATCGACGCCTGTAATAAGATTTTTAAATAAAATATTTGTTTAAATGAACTTTTTTTAATAACAATAATTTTGTGTTGTAAATTCGATATAACATTTAAAATGTATTTTTACCTCAAAATCCAAATTTATACAAGTTTCAAAGATTATAAAAACTTAATCAGCTACAGCGGCGTCAATTCCTTCAACTACTACAGACCAATGAGTGTTGAATAAATAATAATTGAACAGATTACTATGGACAGCAGGGTTTTCATTTAAAGTATTTCCATCTAGCAAAGATATTTTGGACCTGTTGTTAACCTATTTACCAATTCAGTTACTACCAGGCAGGAAGTTTTGAAATCCTTATTAAAATAAGAAATTTTATTTTATTGAAATTGGTTTCTTATATTTTTTACCATTTTTTTTATGAATTCTGTTGCGAGACATATAGATTCAGCTTAAATGTTTCATCTTGACTGCAATAGCTTTATAAAGAGCGAGCACGCCTTAAATCCTAATATTTACGTATCGGAGTAATCGTCATGGGAATTCCAACCTCTTCTGCTTTCTTTTTCTTATTCTCGCTTCATATGAATATTTTTTTTGTTGCTCCTTATAGTTTTGCCACTATATATACGAGTATATACTTAATTGAACAATTTTCGTGCTCGATTTAATCACTCATTTTGAGACGATTTTTTGTGCATGCGTGATTAAAAATTTCTTAAATTAAGATTGTGGCATGCTTGGCTCAAAAATGCTTATTGTTTTGCTTAATATGAGCATGAATTTTACCCTCTGTGGATGAGTAGGTAAATTCATGGTTGTTTTGACTGTATACATTCACAAATTAGGTACTTTTGGAAAATTATTTTTCATCATTATGATGGTGGGTGAGGTTTTCCGGGTTTTCCTCACCTGTAAGTCAAATGGCACCATCAATCATCTTTAAGTCGCCCCGGAGCGCCACGGCAAATAATAATAATAGCCGTCCCTTCCCCTACACAAGTCGTTCAGTCGACTTCAGGGGTTAAAATTCACTCGTAAGGGGGTGAATTAGGGAGAGTATTATTATTATTATTATTATTATATTATTATTATATTATTATCATTTCCACCAGGGATTTATTTTTTGTAGCTTTTGTACTAAGTCTGCAAACGTGAAAATCAGCAAACTTTCGAACTCCTTTTACAGTTTTACCTATTTTGTGTAGGTATTGTTTCCGACTACAATTTGCTTTCTTCTATGCCTGAATTGTTTTTTCCGATCTAAATTCCATTTGTTATCCTCTCTATTTATTTTATCACTTGACTCTGAATCGTCATTCAAATAAATATAGTAATTAATCTTTTTTTCTAGTACCTATTCTCTAATAAATTAGGTATTATCGGGTGAATGTTTTCTGTTTAAATGTTTTTTAAAACCATTGGAAACTTTTATGCCTAGATCTAATTGTAGTTGATAATGAAAATACGGTCCTGAGATTATCTCCTGCAACGCGAAAGGAAGAGAGCATTCGATTTTCCACGAATCGTGATAACCGACTGCGTTAAATCGCCAAATACCAAATTCGTTGCTTCGCATAGCGTAGGGAATACGCCGGTATGGTGGTATACGAATCGACATTAACTTAGCGCCCGGCACCCGGCGACCGAGCCGGTATCGTCGTCAGCGACATAGCACGATCGCTATCCCCCACTCGAATCCGCCACATAAGCCGCTAAACGCTAACAAGCGGAATGGGCTAGAGAACGATGTGGCGTTGCCACGTCCTCGCCTTCATTAGTAGCTGGATAAAGCCGGTAATCAGCCGGTTGCGGATGCTTTGTCTAGCTATCGAGATATATCTGATTTTTTAAAAATTAGGCCTTTCTGAATTAATATTTCTACATTTTACTGATGATACAGTGAAATGTATTCATCAGTGACATAGTCAATGATATTAACGTTAGCTGTTTACTATGTGCTGACGACTTAAAAATTGTCTGCCATATTGATGATGTAAGTAACTGCAACATAAGTACTTACTTATGACTAATCTACCACGAATTGATAATTGATGTATAAAAAAATAAATTGATTTTTTAAACGCCCATCGATATTCATTGATTTGGGAGCCACTTTTGACTCTAAACTACCTTTTGTTCCTCATATTGAAGTTATTTTTTACTTTTGATTTTTTAGCTCGAAAAAGTAGTGACTTTACTGATTTGGACAATTCAAACACATTGTACTATGCTTGTGTCAGATCTAAGATTGAGTACGCATATGGTATCTGTAGTCCATTCTATGATGTACATTTTCTGAAGCATGAATCAGTTCAACAGATCTTTAAAAATGGATGCACTGAAGTTCTTAATAGTATATTTTAAATTATGCATTTTATGAGCAACTTAAGCTCTCGTCAGCGCTGTTACTCACTTATGTTTTGTTTAGAGACATAAATAACTCGATCAGCAATCCAAATTTGCTACAAAACTTAGATTTAACGCTTTAACGTAGCTCATAGAGTTGACTATACATTTTACCTTTCTACCACAACAAAAAATATTTTAAACTTCTCACCACTTCAAACGATGTCTTTCTTCAATTTGTAAAACAGGTAATATATAATCTTGTTATTGAACTTATTTGAGTCCTTTTTTTTTAATTAGGGTAACCTGTTTGAACAGTGTAATCATGGGCATAGCCAAGGGGAGACAGCTCAATCATCGCAAGTCTTAAAGTCGTTGAATCTCGATTTCAACACCTTCTTGGGGTTGAGTAAAAAAATAGTCTAAATTTAAAGGCGATTGCAATAGATTCGGTTAAATGTTCACATCAAATGGAACATATTGTGGAATTATTAGTTGACAAAGAGGAGGAAACAGTGGAAAATACAATGGTAATCCCTATGAAATTGGCTGTAGAAATACGTGTACCCCGATTAGCAACAAAACAGTCATATCGCGCCAATCTACCAGTATCAACACCTGAAGAGTACTTCAAAATATCTGTTTTATTACCATACTTGGATTCTTTCTGAAATTCTTTGAAGGAACATTTCAGCGGGAAGCAGGGACTGGCCTTTGAACTGCAGAATCTTTACCCCACCAAAGTTAGACATCTTAAAATCTTTCGGAGCATCAATAGCTGACCTTTATTTAAAAAACTTAAAATTCGAATCGTGGCATCGGTTATGAAATTTGTAGAAAGAAGAAGACGCCAACCTCGAATACGAGTCCGTTTTAGGTAACACCAACGTTTACCTAGCGATTAAGAAGGCAATAATGATTTGCTTGGAACTCCCGTGCACGACTGCTTCCATTTAGAGGACGTTCAGCACCCTCGGGAGAGTGAAAACCTGGTTGAGGCCCACAATGGCGCAAGAAAGATTGAGTGAGTTGTGCGCATGATCAGTCTACACAGAAAATTAGTATCGAAGGACCAAAATTTCGAGAAAAAGGTTCTTAAAAAAAACTCAGGAAAGAAAACAAGAAGGTTAAATTTATTTTAGACTTTATTTTCGATTTTTGTACTGCATCTTCAAATCTTTAAAATAAAATTTCCACTTTTAATTCTTGTCACTTTCTTGAAACCGGCTTCCGTTAAGTTCCTGTTTTCGATTTTTTGTATCTTAATTATTATTTATTTTTTAGTAGCTATGATCTAACCTGTTTTAAAAACTCGGTCACCTGAAATCCACGTCCCTAAATCAACGGCGGACACTCAATAATATAATTAGCCCCTAAGCTTTAAATGTCTTGAGTAGATCAATGGATTAAAGCAAATTGAAACAAAAATCTGAATATCAAACAAGTACAGTACAAATTAAACATAACAGAAAAACATTTTTAAAAATAAAATTTTGCAAAAGTCGAAATTGATTGCATGCTAGATAAAGACGGTATATTGGATGAGAATGAAGACAGAACAAGTCTATGAGGTATATTGTAATAATTCGCATTCAAATATACAGAAATCATTCAAAAAATTCAAGGCACTTAAACAATTCAAAAAACAAATTTACAAGAATATCTAATTGCCAGGTGAGTTTTCTCATAATTTATATCTAGCTTACAGTCAATGTGGCTCAAAAAACTGTTTACTATATTTACATAATTTTTTTTTAATAACACGTATTTTTTAAGATTGACCTATCTTAATTTAAAAGCAGTGAGTCTACCTATAAGCATAAAAACAAATGTTTCTATATCGAAGTAGATAATCTTATATACTGTATATAAATGGCGGTAAAACAAAAATAAACCTGTAAATAGTATTTTTAAACGAAAGGAAATGAGATAATGGTATCACAGGTTAAATTAGGCTAAGGTAGACTGAATTAGTAAATTAACTTATTTAATAATACTGATAAAACTTATAAATACATAAGCTTTCTTAAAAATATATTTGTTTTTAAGGAAGAGTGAGTATGTTATATTTTTCCTTTAATATTTTAAGAACAATCTTCTCTTTATTGTCTTTATTTGAATTGGTGAGTCAAAGAACAGTACTAGTCCAAAAATGGACGTTTTGAGTTAAGATAGCCAATTCGATAATAACATGTGTTTCCACCCACTGAGATCAAATACAGTACAATACACACAATAAGTTCGGCAATATAAATTACGTTGAAACTGGATATGTGGAAGAGCAGTATAAGTCCAGGACATGTACCGTATTTACACTCATTAATGTCACTTTTCTCTGTCAAACTATAGGTGGTTTGTGTATGACACCAGTGGATATGTGAAAACTCATGAATATATAGGTGATCTGGTATCTCATAGTTTTAAACTAATAAAGCAAAATAAAAATTGTCCACCCCTTTCTACCAAATGCGCACAACCAAATTCCAATAAATGTGAAAAAAAAATAAATGACATAAAAAAGATAATGCAATATATTACAGGAGAATTGCTGGAATTTTACTATCACGTTACCTCCTGGCCCACATCTGCAACCGATGAAGCCAAAGAAGGGGATACTCAGTAAATTTCAGGGGGGCACACCGGGCCCTTAGCCACGTGCATGGGTTTTCCAAAAATATGATATCGTATATTATCTATAATAAAATAATTCATTTGGCAACTTTGCATTATTTCTAAAATAGTGGCTACTAAAAATAAAATACAAACTATATAATTGACTTAAAACACAGTACATGTCCACAATATATTTTTTTAAATATTTCATATACAAACCCTTTTTAATAGTTAAAACTTAATCTCCTACATTCATTTTAAATAGCTTTACATTTGATATGTACTATGTACATGTCAAATTTATATGTCAAATAACAAAATAGTTATTTAGTTTTTTTTACTTTACTCAGAATGACATTTTTGGACTAGTACTGTTCTTTGACTCACCGATTCATTTAGCGCTTCGCAGAATTTGAATCTAAATCAATACTATATTTCGAACAAATTGAAAAACAAAAAGAATAAAATATAAAATAGATGACAATTTTTTATATATCCAAAAAATCATCTTTACTTAAGTGTTTTTTAAATAATATATCTAATAAGAAAATTAATACACATTGCGAATGGAATATCCGAACCAATAACACATTTAGTTAACTATAGTGTAAAAGGAATTAGAAAGATATAAAGTTGGGTAGTTGAATATTGTATGTATCTAAAAGCTGTAACCAGGTATTCTTCAAATTTTGGAGCCGGTTTCCCTATGCGTAACCAATTTTTTTAATGATCCTGTATCCGAAAAATGTATTTTTGATAGCTTCTACGAGTAAAACGTTAAAACAGACCGAGCATAAGAAAACACTCGATAAATATGACCACAGGCATAATTCGTGAGTTTAAATTCAATATTAAGTTGCCGGCTTACATGACCTTCACGCTGCGAATGAAAACACTTATGCCGGTCAATATGACATGGTTTTATATTGGTTGTTAACATTTAGAAAAATGATAAAGAATGCACCTATTAAACTAAACAAAGTAGATGGTTCAGGAAAGTATACACCTAATTTAAGTGAATATTTTTGATAATTTCTACGAGTAAAACGTTAGAACAGTCCTTGCTGTTAGAAAACACTCGTTAAAGATAATCATATGCATAATTCGTGAGTTTAAAATCAATACTGACCTGTCTGCATATATGACCGTTACGGTGCGAATGGAACTACTCGCGCCGCTCAATATGACCGGCGTGGGTTATATGAACGGCACGGTTTGATATTCGTTCAGTTGTCACCCAAGTGAGACCCTTTAGGATAACATGTCATTATTATTTACGGTACAATCTTGCTAACGTTTAGAAAAATGATAAAGAATGTATCTAATAAACTAAACATAGCAAAGTAGTCCAGGAAAGTATGCACCCGAGCTAGGTTAATATTTTTGATAACTTTTGCGAGTAAAACGTTAAAACAGTCCGTGCTATTAGAAAACACTCGTCAAATATGACCGTAGGCATAATTCGTGGGTTTAAAATCAATAATGAGTTGCCATGCTTATATGACCGTCACGGTGCGAATGAAGCCATTCGTGCCGGTCAACATGACTACTAATGGTTATTAACATCGTGCTTTGTATGGGCGTTGTCACTGTTTTCCAGTGCCATTTTAGGAACAGCACCTTTAGAACCCAACAGTGAACCAGAATTAGAACCAGAGACCTTATCTCAAAGTCATGACTATGTCATGACTCTAGCCACTGAGCTAACATACCCCTGACTTGTCATTATTATTTACTGTGCCCTATTTCGCAAAATGATAAATTATGTATCTAATAAACTAAACAAAGTAAGGTGGTCCAGAAAAGTATCGACTTAATTTTTCCTCTTTTCGTCAAATGTATAGTAAAAATACTTGAACACGTTGATTTTACATTGCAGCATATTATTAAATTTTGCGTCTTCAACACCCCGGCGGGAAACAATCTCATCCTTAAAATTTCAATGGAAAGTGGAGTTAAGTGATACATCATCTCAAAGGGCACAAAATTATTTTTCTAATGATATACTATTTTGAACAGTTAATACAAATATGTCTTTTGGAAACTCATCCCGATAGTTTTTGTATTAATAAAAAATATTTGTAAATTTTGGCATTCAAGAGAACTAAAATTACGTTCCAATGCTTCCAAATTATTTTAAATTATTTTCCAAAAAAAATAATAAAGATTATTTATTAAAACGTTAATTTAACAAAATAGACGTGTCCGAGAATTTCTGTTCTAAATATTACTAAAAAAACGAAAATTTGGGTGCATATTTTTCGTTGGACCACCCTGTATGCAAATTTGTTTCACAATGTCATTTTAACTTTCCCTTTACAATGAAGTTTTTTACAGAATCGCAAACTCTCTAGTTCCCTAGCCATTTTCCACGATCCGGCAACCCGGCATAGCTTACCTAACTGTTTGACCTCCATCCCCACGCTCCGGCCAATAGCTCTAACTAGGTCATACGATGCAGCCAATCAGCGAGCTGCGGCTCCGTCACGTGCCTTTGTTGTTATCATCAGCTGGGTCCGGGCGCGCTGATATTCAACGAAAGACAAGCGCGTCAGTGTCCGTCTTCGTTCAGCGAGCGCTGGTCGAGTGAGACGGGAGGTCCAGTGGAAGGGGTGGGAATCAGCTGTTGTCGCTGGCTATAGCCGGCCGGCAGCTTAGTTGTTCTTCAACTGTTTGTGGTAGAAGAAGGCTCTCAGCTGGCTGTATCGAATCTCACTTTATAAGTATGTGCATTACTGATTATAACAAAATATCAGTTTTAGATGGATATGTAAAGTGTTACGTCAATCATCAGCATTCTGTGTACAAGTTATTAGTGAGAAGACTGTATTTTATCGATGACGTTGTATTGTGAGGAGTTTTAAACGAACTTGGAAAGTTTTTTTTTGAACCGGTTTTTCTTTCGAATAATCCCGAAAATGTCGACGGGAAAACGTCTAGCGAAGAGATCAATCATCGGGACGCGAGTTTGTGCTCCGGGAGAGGACGGGAAGTACTACTCAGGAGTAATACAAGCTGTCAAAACCCCAGCCAATTTTACCGATAACAACAATTGTATCAATTTGACACCCAACACGCGGTACACTGTTCGCTTCGATTCCCGTCAGGGAAATTTGGGCAGAACCAGTGCCGAATTTCACGAAAGTGAATTAATCGGACCCGGGTTCCAATCAGTCCTGGGCCTGGAATTGGTGCCGGGTCAAAAATGCTTCGTTACTTACAACGGGAGAGAAGTATGCGGTGAGGTTTGCAAACATCACGCCGAAACAGACGAAGTTATCATTCGAATCCATCCCACCGGCATTGAGGTAAGTCCAATTTAACCTAAAAATCGATTTAATTATATCAATATTGCAACGCGGCTAAATAAAAACCTTAAAAATGTACTAGAGTTTAAAAAACGTAATAATTTTACTGACTCGTGCATAATAATGACGTTAATCCTAACAAAAAGAACTATTGGTATTTCGAGCCGGAATTACATATATCGTCACACCGGCTTCCATCAGATGCTTTGTGCGTTGTTCGTAACAAAATTATTATCTTTTGCCGGCAAACAACTCCTAGTGCGTAGGATACACAGTAGCTTGACGCGTAAATGCAAAGTCCGACCTGTTGGAGTTTTTCACGAAACCAGTGGACGGTTGGATACACATTCCTTTGGTCGACTGAGATAGCTGCGACGTTGCCGAGTCGCGTACCTACCGGCTGAGGCTGTTTATTATGTTGAAAATTGGTTTTATTTGTATGATGGGTTCGGAAAACAAAGACCGCAACTGCGGTTTTGTGGGAAGAAATTGAGATGTGACGGCTAAATTGCTTCGCACCGTTGTTGGTTGTTATGTGAGATCGCCACTTATTTAAGAGATTCATTTTCTCGTTAAAACACTGAATAGACTTGTTATAAGTAGGTAGTAAAATTCAGAAAATAGAGAAATAAGGACTTATTTTTAGTGATTTTATTGAAATTTTATATCGAAAACAAAAAGAGAAAGTAAAATTTTTAATTTTTCACCTTTTAAGAAGTTGTTAGTAATATCTTACAAAATACCTTCCTATTAGAGTACATAGGTAGTACCTACCTAGTTAAAAAAAAAAGAATTTCAACCCTGAACTATATTTGAAAACGATAAAAATCTATTTTATAACGCATCATTTTTGAAACATTCTTATATTTTTGAGCTCTGCAATGCAGCTTTTTACATTTCTACAATCCTAAAATATGTACTTCATATCGCTTCACTTTAGGCATACAATATCATTTTAAAAATAAGTTCAACAAAGCTATAGTGTTGTAGATTTGACCCGTAAATTCTTTTGTCATGTGACCGGTAAATTGACTAAAATAAAAATACAATAAAACAAACAAATAAAAACGATGATTGATGAACATTAACATTTAACGCATGTAGGTATATAGACAATGGTAAATTCTCATCTGGCGACTCAAATAAAACATTTTGAAATATTTTAGATATTTTGTCCGAATTTGACCGATCAACTAGGTAGGGCTAATTGACCATCCCCAACACTTTTCAACTTACCCTATATTGACAGTAAAATACCTCTAACAAGCAGAATTCGCCAAGACTAGAAAAACGAAAAAGAACTTGTTGAACATACAATTACAAAGGAATTAAAGAATTCAGAAACAAAATAATTAAAGGAAATACTATTATTAATTACCTAATCAATTAACAAAATTTTCAACCGTGTACTTACCTACCTATTTGGTGATTTAGAATAAATTAGTGCATTGACTGGAAATTCTGATGTGGAGCAATAACACCTACACTAATTTAAGATTAAACGACTTACCTGTAAGGAAGTTCAATCGTAATTAATAAGAGCAGTCCGGTTCACATTGTAGTTAGCATATTTATTATGATACATGTAATAGGTGAAAGAGATGAACCACCCTCACATCCCAAACGACAGAGCCAGGTATATCATAATCCAGCGATCACGACCTTCGGGTTGGATGAAAATATCAAAGGTACTCCATCTTCTCAGGTAGAGGATATTCTATGCGAACCGGACTGCTCATATAATTACGATTGAACTTCCTTACAGCTAAATCGTTTAATCTAAAATTCTACTTCGCAGTTCCGTCCTTATAGAACACATTGCAGTTGTTTAAAGAATGTAGTGATCTATCGCAGAAAAAAGTAGATATATATTGTTCAATTAAAACAAAAAAAAAATGTATTCAACATTTTTTACACCAAGCAAACACATTAAAAATATTTTTAATCCCCCTCGAAATAGTCATGGTAAAGTCTAAACAGGCTTGTTGGGCTTGTTTTTTTAATGCAACATAATAACACCGATGCATTGAATTATCAACTTATGTTGTTCTCTATTCATACAAGTATTTGAATTGTAAGTGCACTACAAAGGGCTATTAAAGTTACTAATTTACGACTTAAATCTTCCAGATTATTGATTCCAAGGGAACTAAAATTGACAAATATTTTAGGACAGGCTGTGGATTCCACGTATGAGAATACTTAAGAAAAACTGGTGAAGTTTAGAAACGATTTACCAATTGATTTCCTGTTCTTTTTGATAAAATATTTAATGTCGAACAAAAAATGTTTAAAGTAGAATAACTAGATCCTCTAATATCGTTCAAAAATTCAATTACTTATTATTTACTGATGGATTTATTTAATCTACATTACCAGATCTATAAAATTTCCACCATTCTTTATATATGCAACATTGTACTGGACTAAAGTGCTATTACTTAATCAGTACTTCGATTGCTGCTTCTGGTAATCATCTGGGTAGCTATTCTTGAATTTAAAGGAATAGAAAACCGGTTTTTCCTCTTTATCTACAGCGCACAAAATTTGTATTTTTGTCTTTCCTCAAAATTTCAACTCCCTGAGATTGAAGAATAGATACCCTGGTTTCATTCACCTTCCTGATAAGTCATACAGCCAGGATACGGATCGATCATAGGGGGTGAATGTTTCGGAAAGGATCCCTCAAAATGCTTTTACTAGGACAGACATAAAAATGATCTTGTATGAGTAATTTAGTAAAAATTGGGAGCAAGGTTGTGACTTGCATAGTGTAACTTCAAGGATTCCACCCGCTTCTTATAAGATCATTTTATTAAGTACTTTAACAATCAAGACATTTGTTTCAACTCCTATTTATATTGGAGGCAAATAGATGAATTTGAGGCTTAACAAAATATTTCAATGTGTTAAAAAATTTACTATTTACACTAAGTATATTCGGTTTCAATATATTTCGGTCTTGATTGATTGTAAACAATTTTAAATAAGTTTCAACAAAATATAGTGGGGATTTTAAAATTAGACCATATCCAAACATAGAAGTAATATCTGTCAACAAAGAAACAATAATTATGGATAAACATAAACAACACTGAAGCAAGACTATTACTATAAAAACTACAAGAACTTCAAATGAAGTCAATACAAGTACTTACATTCATTATTGTAAAGTAAAAAAAGGGCAGTAATAGTAAAAATTTAAGACATTACTGTTCAATTATTAAAATAAAAATGTTTAATAAATCTGTCATATTTAGACCAGAAAGAGGTAAAAGGTTAGCATTTGGTTAAGTGATTCAGGTACCTATACCCTGTTTTATTTAGGAAGTACATTATAAATGGATAAGGGTAAAGAACTAGAAGGTGGTAAATTAGAATTGTATGTCCTAATTTTAAATTTGGAACTTGAGTGCCCATATTAGTATTATAAACAAGTATATTACTCATGTTCCTACAATTATATAATATCCCCTGGCAATGTAAGTACAGAGTCCATCAGAATTTAAAGAGGTACCTGACCAGTAACTGGACAAAACAATTTACTATTTGTAGAATCTGTCCATAGTAGTGTTACCGGTAGATGCTACAAGCTAAATGTTGCAAGAAAGGAAAGTTTTAAGAGCGATACTCATTCTTTACAGGCAACATTAAAAAAAAACAAATTTTCCATAATTTTATCATTAACAAAAAAATACCGGTTAATAATAATACGCAACAGATTCCAGTAAGTAAACACGATTTCTTCGATCAATATACCGACATAATTACGTCAGCTACACGCTACAATACTCTTTTCTCGATCTACACACATTTGACTCTGGACTGCAATAATTGATACGCATCATGGTCACAAAAAAATCCCCAGGCTACAGAACCGGCTATCGATCTGACAACACCGTACCAGATTGGTGTTTTGGTTGGGAGTGATGGTGCGCAGGCACGGAACCTCCTCCCCTTTAATTGGTAATTGCATCCTTGTGACGTCATTCGTATAAACAAGCCAGAATACCGTTCACGGTCGATTTTCGGTTGTTACCTACTTTGTATGAAAATATACATGGATTACGTTGGTATTGGGTTTGTATATCCGGTAGAAAAATAATTTACCGCTGGGATTTTCGAATTCATACGCTGTCATCGCTGGTTTTGGCGTACAAATCGTGCTCACAATCGTGTATTTTAACAGTAATTACAGTGCATTTTGCCAATGACAAGGAATAAAGGTTCAAAATAAATTATAATGGCAGAGTTGGACTTAACAGCGTTTGGTATGCTAAAGATCGTGAGTTTGACTCATTTCAGGGACTTATTGTTCAGATTTTTCTTCGTTTGGTTTTTAGGAATTCCTGAATTTCCTTATTGATTTTTATGCATGTTTTTTCAATTTAAATACTCTGAACCTATTTGCAAAAACAATTCCTGGAAATATTGTTCAACGCTGTATTTCGTTTGTTAGAAAAACCGCTGTCACTTGTCATTGACATTCAACTTACGTAACATACAATTACCAACTCGTCAGGCAGCTCCAAGTCATTTATATCTCTGCGTTTTCTTGATGCGTTAAAACGTTTTCAAGGTTATTGCAGTATTCTAGTATTCCACTTTTCGGTATTTGAAAAACGTTTTCAAGGTTATTGCAGTATTCTAGTTATTCCACTTTTCGGTATTTGCATTGAGCCATAAATATCATGTAAAGAATTACATTTTTAGAATGCTCTTCCAGAATACAAAATCTTTGGTCCAATGTGTTTAGCGCTGTGTCCACAACATGATAATAAAATTCAATTTTGTAGATCTTGGTATTCGTAATTAAATTTATGTCTGACATTCTTGGACAAACGAAAATAAGTCTTGGACATCCATACACATTATTTTAATTTTTTTTTAAATATTTCATTTTTGGGAGAGCGGACAAACTGAAAATCAAACTTCAACTACGAAAATTCAATCAAGCGAAATTCACCGAAACGTAAAACAATGGAAACACATTTTCAATG